ATACATATCACGTCATGCAACAAGGCAAATTCAGACCTTAGACTAGTTTTTAAGGGGGGAATAAGTGACATAAACACAGTAATTAGAAACTGTTTCAGTGTGTATAAATATTGTGATGCAATCATTGGTCAGGTTCAATGGGAGGGAATACAGCTTCCTAATATTGTTTTTACTGATTTTTTAAGTTTTTTTAAAAAAATTACATTTCTGTTTTCCTTTTTTTTTCTTTTACATAATTATGTGCATATATCTGGAATAATGACCAACATCGGTGATATCAACATTAATTTGAAAAATAAATAAATAAATAAATAAATAAATATCATGTTTAGAGTATTACAGAGATTTTGAGTTATTTCTTAAGATGACATAATGAATATAGTTCTCTGTATTGAATTAATGAAATAATGGAATATTGAATTTTAAGTTTTATAATTGTAAACTCTTTGTTAATTTACTACATTTTTATCTTTAACCACTATGTCTCTATCTTCTTTTTTTGTTGCTATTTATTCTGCTCCTTTAAATGTTTTAATAAAATAGATAGATAGATAGATAGATAGATAGATAGATAGATAGATAGATAGATAGATAGATAGATCCCATAAATTGATTTAGCCAACTCTAAGCCTTGCAAAGTTTTTCTGTTTTCCATGCACTGAGCATGTTGGAGAATGCTATTCAACAGAGTGTGAGCTTCTTTAAAGCCCCAGAAATGGATTATACTGTATAGCATGAACCAAATTAACTAAACTTGTCATTTGTATTTTTTTAAAAAAATCACAAGTAATCTAAGATGATAATACAATGATACTTAATGGATGGATTTTGTGTTTGGATTTCACCTCCAAAATAATGGACAAGTTGGTCTGAATGGACAGCTGGCATTATTTATATTATTGTGTAATTATATAATTGATATCATTTGGGCAAATTTTTGTTATTTGTGTAATGACGTAATTGACATCTTTAATGTCATTTGCATCAATTTGTGTCTTCTGCATAAATGTCAATTACGTCATTACATAAGTGACAAAATTGATGCAAATGATGTAAAAACATCAATTATATCACGATGTAAATGGAATGTAAATTGAGTTCAATTGACTTTTTGTCATTTGCATCAATGTATGTCTTTTGCATAATTAAACATCAAAATGTCAATGTCAAATGACATACATGATCAAATTGGTACAAATGGCATAAAAATCCCTATTATGTCATTATATAAATGATGCAAATGATATCAGTTATGTAAATTTGGGTTTAGGAGACAATTGAGTTTAATAGACATCCTTCTCCCTCCCCAAATAGTCTGTATTTACTGTACAAATACTGTAAACTGCTGAATAAAGAAGGAAAGCTGCATTAGCAAGACCTGCACAGAAAGAAGCAAATAGGAAAAACTAAAATGTAGAAGGAAAGAGGACGACCAGCAGCAAGGTGGACGGACTCAAGTTACAGTGGGGATGGGTGCACTGTTGGAAGACCTGAAGGACCAAATTGGGGACAGACTGGAGGTCTTTCGTAATGGAGAAAATCTATCTAGCTAAGAGTCAGCAATGACTTGATGGCATGTAATCAAATCTTAAATGAGGCTTTGTTATTTTAAAAAATTGTCCCCACTGTTACAGTTAACCATACTGAGATTTACTTTATAGAATGATTCCCAATTGCTCCACTGAAGAGGTTTTTTAATGAGTCTGAAAATGAGGTAAGAAACAGAAAGTTGCGAGGAAGACATTTCACTATCCACTATATACTATGGGCAGAAAAACAAGTGTATTTGTTGCCTAAATAAGTGTGTAGAAGTGCCACTAGATCTTGGATAATTTGCTTGGCATTATCTAGGTCTATAATATACTTCAGTTACAAATCTGAAGATTTGTTTTCTTGGACAGCATAACTGTTTTCAGCCTGGTGTCCTTAGGATGCATTAAATCACTATAGTCTCTGGTCTGGTTTACCAACACAATTGGAAATCAAAAGTCCTATCTTAATCGACATTCATCCCATAGAAACATTTTGGTACCATCAGGATACTCCATATACATTTTTTAAAACATGCATATAATTAATTTTTGGAATTACTTCACACTTATTTTAAAGGCTTTATTTTCCATCTTACACAAAGGGTTAGCAAACATATTACAGTATACTTCACTGGGGGCATTGGAGAGCCCCACCCCACCCCAAATCCTTTGTAAACTAGATCTGCCACTTAATCACTGCATGGCCATTTGGAAAACTACAAGGAACTGGCATGCAGTTGTGGCAGTTCAACTAGTTTCTGTCATTTGAGTACACACAAGAAAGCACAACCAGTGTTTCCAGATGCAATTTGCATGCACAATAGTCTGACCACGGGTCTACAACTCAAGGCCCTTTTCTTCCAGTCACAGGAAATTGGTAACATGTGGAAGAACCGTCATCATGCCCTAAGTATGAAAGTAAGAAGTGAAATCATGGGTGAATTTTCAAGGTTATTTTCTTTCTTCTGTCGGCATCGTGCACTGCACCATGCAACTAGTGTATGCATGAATTTGCCTGTTTTTCGGAATCTCTTCTGTCAGTAAAAAGAGATTAGCAATTTATTTAACTCTCCTTTTACTAAGGATCAGCAGGGAACCAACTCCTGAGGCAAAGCTCTTCGGGACGTGTCCGGGCGTGCATTTTCCAAACTTTCCAAAGTGATTTTTAGGAAGCGCAAAGGGCAAGCCAAAATAGCAGACTGCAGCAGCGGGGAAAACCAAAGGGTCGCCGCCAGCCTCCACAGCGTCCCCGAGTTTCAAGTTTCTTAGCTCCATCTGTTTGCCTCATCCCCCCCTTCTTCAGCGCTGCACTTGAGCTATCCACTCCTGGCGAACAAAGCAGCTGGGCGGCCCTGCCCTCCCTCCTTACTGTTAAATTACGCCTCGAGCTTCCCAGGTACCCAGAGGAAGAGGAGGAGGAGGAGAGGGCGGCAGCGGCGGCGGGGAAACAGCCCGAGCTGCCAGGGCTAAGACGCGGGACCTTGAGACAGAGCGCGCCGAGTCTAGCGCCAACTCTCCGAACAGAGCTTTAAGCTGATTGGCGGGAACCTTAGAGGGACGCCCCTTCAGTAAACGCCTGATTGGCCGGATTGTAAAAATATGTTCCAAGGCGCCAGAATAGAAGCTTTAGCGCCTAGCGGAGTCTCCAGGGCAGTAGCGGAGCGGCCGGTAGAGGCGCGTCGGCGGCGGAGGTAAAGGTTGCAGGTGGGATTCGGGGTCCCTCTTCCCTTCTGAATATCTCCGATGTCCCTCAGGGGTGACCTTAGCGAGCCTGGAGACGCCGAGCCCGAAGCCAGGGGATCCCGCTGAGAAAGAGTGTCGAGAAACGTAAGCCTTTGCAGTCCGGGGGGCGGGAAGGAGAGCGGAGGTGGTCGGCAGAGGGAAGGGCGGGCTTGTTTTTTCGGGGCCCTGTTGCCTTGATCCCCAGAGCTTTCCCACCTCGCCGCAGAGCGGGGAATTGCCTTTCTCCGTTGGGGCGTTGGGGCTAAGCCGGGAGAGGGGTCCTTCTCCCGCTCTCAGGGCACGGGCCGAGCCGGATTGTGCCCGCCTTGATCTGGGAGGTGAGCCCTGCGGAGTCCCGCTCCTTTCAAAGCCGGGATTCCTCGTCCAGGTTCTTTGCGCCAAAAGTAACCGATCCCGGCTGAGTATCTCTGAACGTCAATGACAGATTCGCCAGAGGCTGCTCATTCTCAGGCGCCTTCTGCTCAAGCCAAACTTTTTTGGTTGGCTGCTTGGTTGGTTGTAAATTCTGCGCGCCTAGGGAACTCCTAATTTTTGCTCAGATAATTTCGCGGGAGGAAGTGGGATACGGGACCTGAAATTTGTGGGGGAGGGGGGAATGTAAGATGCTGAAGATATTGAGCTACTTCCACATTTACAGATGGAGATGAATTGTTTAACACTAAAAGACCTGATTAGCCCGAGACACGGGAAGATAGATTACACAAACGAAGATGGGGAAAGTGCACAAAAGGTAAGTAGGTAGAGCTGGATTCCTAAACTCGGAGTTCTTTACTTTAAAATCTGCTGGCAGGGATAGGGCTTTCTTTTAAATTGTCTTTTGCTTTATCCCCAGAAGTTTCAAATTGTGGTGGGTTTGATACATTCAGAACTGATGAAGCCAAACAATAAAGTTGGGGGAAGGGGTTTACAGCAATATTCTGTGGATAATTATTGTTACATTAAATTATTAACTAGCTCTACCATTAAAGTAAGGAAGAGTAGTCCTAATCCACCCACACACCTTGCAACTGTTTTTCTGTTGAGTACTTTTCTCTTAAAATGCTAAATTCTTAGCTTGGCCTTAGCTCTATTTTTTTAAATCAATTTGGTATCTCTGCTCTGTTAAGGGGCTAGGAAATAATTTACTCTAGGCTAATATATTTTGTTTGCTTTAGGTTTACCAAGTTACATAAACCCAACCTGTGGTTTAGTGCAGGGATGATACAGCTTTTGCAACCAGGAAGAACATTTTTAAAAAGTTTTGAGGAGGTTCCAAAGGCCACTTGAAGCGTAGAAGTAATATAGCTGAGTGTTGGGATTAAAATTCAGTATTTTGGGAGGGAGTCGAAAGAGTTGTGGGTTTTTTTTAGTAAAATAGGTTTGTTATGCTCAACGTACCTATTATTTGTTTAAAATATTGCAAAACACACAGCACTATAATTTAGCAATTTGTTACCACATTTTGGTAGCAGACCATATACTTAACCTGGCTAACTGGAATATATAAACTGAGCCATTGTGGCTTATTCAGTCATCCTGGCTGGGCAGGATAGCGCCTAAACTCTGGAATGAGGTCCCCCCCCAGTCCAGATGGACCCCACTCTACTATTGTTCAGAAGAGCTGTGAAGACCTGACTTTTCAGCCAGGCCATTGCCGAGGGAGAGTGAGATCCCTCCCATCATCAAGTCTGCCATATTTTATCTTTTATGTTTTATTGATTTCATTGTAATTTCTTTGATTGTTATGAACCTCCCAGAGTTATTGGGAATCAGGCGATGTACAAGTTTAATAAATTATTATTATTATTATTCTAATTATTATTATATGTAAATGCAACCACTAATGTTACCAATTTTGGGGAAGAGCAAAATGGGCCTTTGTGGACCAATATTTGGAGGCAATCTTAATGAAATTAATCTACAGAGATGCTTCTGGCAAACATAAAGGAAAGTGGTAAATAGGTGTCTCTTCTTAAACTGAAAGTTTGTGATAAGATTGAGTGTGAAGGCATAATAGTAAACAAGCAAACATTGGCATTTGCTACTTCATTGCTTTTGACTTTACCTGTCAGCAGAAACAAAACAAACCAGTTTATGATTCTGGCTTATTTATTTTTAAATTATTATTATTATTATTTAAAGAAAAAAGGAAAAGAAATAGTACTGATACAAACACAGTTTAAAAGAATATAGAAATATAGTAAGGAAGGGGAAAAACCAATATAAGCAACAGAACGCAGGTGAATGACCAAGGCATCTCGAATAACCAGCAAATCTAAAATGTCATATGGCTAATATATTCTAAAATACCATTAATAACTTAGAATACTATAAGATATTTCATACCCAATTTCTAGTCAAGACTTGTCTCTATTTAACTGTATCACAATTGAAATCAATAAGAGGCAGAAAGAAAGCTATAAATAATAAACAATAAATTGAAAAATAATGTATAGATTATATGTCAGATTAAAATATAAACTCTAGAACCAAAATTTGGGATATGGCACAAATCCATGTATAGAACTGTAGTCCAGAAATGGTTTCCAAATAAGATTGAATTGTACATCAGATTTTAGATGTAAAGTTATTCTAGACATGAAAGTATATTCCCACAGTTTAATTAACCATTCATCCATAGAGGGGATCAAAGATAATTTCCAATAATAAGCATATAAAAATCCTTGCAGCTGTTTTCATATATAAAGCCAGTTCAATGTGTTTTCAAGGAGTGTGTTTGGTGAAATTTAATAAAAGTTTGGAATGGAATTACAACTTTCAAAATTTCTTCTATTCTACAAAAAATTAATTTCCAATATTGAGAGTTTTAACATTCCTACAACATATGGAAGATCTACTCTCTTCATTGCATTTCTACCATTTCAGGGAAAAGAAGCTATTCATTTTAACAATCATGACTGGACTAATAGACCAGCAATAAAATATCTTATACCAGTTCTAAGTATATTTGAGGTGAACTTAATATTCTTTTTCCATTGAAATTCTTACTGTCCCATCTCTATAACTCTACTCAGATTTTGCATCTATTAAACATACAATCTTTAACTTCTTCTGTTTCTGAGTTATAATAGATTATAAATTGTGCCCAGTAATATGTTCAGTATTATGAGTTATAAGATTTTAAAATTCAGTCAATTTTCTCAATATCTCCCCTTGTTTCCATAATTCTTTTGTTGCTGTGCTGCTTATTTGAGAATACTAGAATCAACTGAAAGTGGAACCAACTGAGTGTGTAAGACCACTGTGTAACAAAAGACTTGAGAGTTGATTCAGGCTTGTTTAGAAGAAATCAAGCTAAGAACCCCAATTTATATGAAATGAAGTCTTCCTGGTTCTCTCCTGATAAATAAGAATTTTAATTAGCACTGCCTTTGAACCAGACCAAACTGGAAAATGCCAATTTTCTCATGAAGTTTGTGCATGGGAATCTGTGTTGATTGATTCAGTAGCATTGGAAGCCTGGATGCTTAACAGTTTCTCTATTTTGGTATTTGAAGCTGCTTTCACTAATGCAAGTAATTATTTTGATTTTACAAATGCAGCTTTAGCTATGCAATTTAGAAAAGGCAAATTGAGTGTTTTTTTTAAAAAAACCACTATCATTTAAAAAAAAGTTGTTCCAATAAATTTAATGCACTTTTCTCCAGCTTCATTAAAGTAAAACAAAAATACAGGCAAATCTCTTATGGGTCTTCAGACACAACATTTGTATGTTGAACAAAATATCACATTACAGATGGTTTTAAATACTAACAACAGTGACAAGGTTCTCCTGTTAAGTAGTACTTAAAAATGTGCAGCGGCTGATGGAACTATTAGCTCTGAAAGTTACGTGTTATTTGTAAAACTGGGGGGGAAAAACCCAAAAAGATTAATATATAAAAGTACAGGCATAATCTGCTTCTCTTTATCAAACTGCTTCTGCTCAACCCACTCAGGTTGCTAACAGATTTGACTCCTTTGACACACTCTTTATCTACAATGAATCTCTCAAACTAACCAACTAAGCAGGCAAAACAAGTCTAAATGCTTGTTGACTGCTGCGCAATGCTTCCTTCAACAAAGCTAGACATCTTAATAAGAATAATTCAATAACATTTCTTTGTAAAGTTCCACCATTCTAAGCAGTTGCATAATACTTAAGTAAAAGGCATTGTACTGATATTGCCACTTGTACTAATACAAGCTTTTAACAAATAAGATTTGGTACTTCAGTTCAGCCTAAACTAGGATGTCTTGCAAACAGAACTGAATAACAAGAGGTGGATAGGAGAGATGGAAATTCTATTCATGCTTCCTCAAAGTCTTGCACTCTTTATACAAAAAACAAGTTCTACCAGAGGGATAGAAGAAGTAGCATATAAAATCAAGTGATTATTGTACACATCTCTGTCTTTAAGATCAAACTGAATATGCAATTTAGTAAATTAACTAATGCAAGATGTGATGTGATGCCATATACAGCAAAGATGAGCCTTTACTACATCAGAGAATTTCATCAGAGAATTTTGTTAGATATCTATACATATTTTTGCAACTGTTACCTGTAACTTTAAACCTTGTTTTTTTAAAAAGAAATAAATAAATCATTGAGCCTTTACTAATTTTTTTATACTTTATCTGACCTCAACTTGGTAATGTATTTTAACTTAGTTAATTATAGTCAAGATTTCAGTACAGTTGGATATATGTTTATATTTTCTAAGATGAGTGGAAGATTAATTGCACAATGTTAATGCTGATTTTGCTTGGAATTCCGGTATAAGTAATCAGATGTCAATACTTACAAATAATTTTCTAAGTACTGCTACATTCTAGTATGAACAAGAAACAGTATATATGAAAATGACATGAGGCTATGCAGAGAAATAGCTTTAACTAAGTTCTCTCAAAAGTAAACTATTGCCTGGAATAGTCAGACTCTCCATGTATATTATCTGCAACAGAATCTGGAATGGGTATTTTTGCTCCAATCAGATGTGTCCTCCTGTGTAGGCCACTAACTATTTTGTCCAATTTAAATGAATGTCATTTATTCATATTTATTCAAATATGGAGGCATTAATTTTAGAGACACTAACCATTGCTCTCTGATTATAAAATTACATATTCTGGTCCCCACCACTCCATCCACAGTAAATCATGGCCAAGCACAATGCTTGGATAAGTCCTATGTTTATTAAATACAGGAAGAGCCTTCATATGCCTGGAAGGTATGTGATGTGCCCTATACATTACATCTCCTCTAGGAAGTATTTTTTGAAGAAGCTGGAAAGTCTAAGATCCTAGATGGTGGTTTGCTCCAAGTCAGCTCTTTAGTTTTCTTCCTTCCCAATATGAATAAAAAAATTGATCTAAACTTGACTCCATCCTTTGTGACTTAAATGTCTGAGGTTTGAGTAGGTTCCTTATCTTCCCAAATTGTAATCTCTATCCCTTCCTATAAAAGTCAGAGCAAGCCATTTGAAGAGCCTTATGTGATTAGAACTATCTTATTTCACGTTTGTTCCCATGAAAGTCAGCCACATGGTTTTGAGATGCCTATGAGAAGAACAGGAGCACAGTATCACCCTTTCTGAGAGGTGTACTACCCTCAATACTAGAAGCAATATCTAGTCATCTTGGCTAGGAGCCATTGATAGCCTTGGGTGATGTAATGGCATGTGGGAAAGTCCTTGGGAGACAGGGCAAAGAGATGCTGCCTGGGAAACAGTCAGATAATAGGCAGCATAGCCTGCAGTTGGTTAGTAGGTGGGGCAAGAGGCTCAGAAGGGGGACCCCCCCCCAGTTTCTTGGACTGTAAAGGAGACAGCAGGAGAATTGTACTTTCAGACTTGCAAGATTCTGTTAATGTAGCT